GGTGCCTAAGCCATCTCTGCCCTCTGCAGCCTTGCAGCGGCAGGATCCTTCTGTTGGCTGGCGTAAGTGACTCCTCCTTGCTGCAGCAATCCCAGGTCACTTGACTCCAGGATTCGGGATTGTTGGTGAAAGACTCGGGTTCAGATGAAAATCCTGCATTAACCTGTGTGTCGACGGTAGCGGTATATACAGATGTTGTCTTCCTTCTTGGAGGTACCATCGTGGAGCTCGTTTTGCTCTTCGTACCTCATGGCATGTGGTCTTCGGGTGAAAACCTAAGATTTGGCTATGCTAGATCGGGTGATGGTGTTGTCCTCGACATCACTTCATGTCTTCCTCCTTGAAGGCGTCACCTTGAAGACTCGACGGTGGTTTCCAATGGTGTGCACGGTTTGTTGGTGAAGCTTGGGTTTGTGGTGGTGTCGACATTTTTTCTTCTTTTCTTTTTTGCACTGGCATATTTGTTGTGCTTTCCTCTTTAATGGTTCTTGTAATGCTTCTTCTAATTAATGAATTTGACAGCTCCCAACGTTAAAGAAAATAAAGAAGTACCAGGTGACGACCACCACGCAAGGTCAACACACAATAATTAAAGAAAAAGACATATAAGTACAACTTGTTAACTTCTTAAGAGCATCTATAGTCGCGACAACAAATATCCCCCCCCCCTCCCCAAATACCTGCAGACGTGCCCGGATGCATCCGTGGGAAGTAGCCGGCCGCATCTCAAATTTGTTCATCTGCATCCGGATACCTCATACTTGAAACCTTAAATCCATACAAAGTATGCAAACGTGGTAATCACGTACTACGTAGATCAAATAACATATACTACCCTAATCCTCATCGGAGATGTCCACTATCTCCGTGTCTGACTTTTGGTACATGGGCGGCAGCCGCAACTCCGGCTCCTACGACTGCTCCGCGTCGGCCTCCGCCTCCATCTCTGCGTCAAATTCGGCAAAAAGCATGTCAGTCGCCGCCCCTTCCTGCCGAATGAACTGTCGGTTGGCCTCGACATAGGGCGGTCTCATCCTAGATGGACTCCAGGATGGCCTGCTGCTCCACCGTCACCGCCGCTTGGGCGACCGCGAACTCCGCCATGGCGAAGACTGGCATCTCCTTCGACTACTCTGCCTTGTCCTCCGCCTCGTCGTCCACAGGAACCGACTGATGCTTCTTCTCCTCCTCCTTCTCTGGCTCCGGCGAGTTCGGAGGCGGGCTGACTGTGATGCGGGTGGCGCGCCTCGCTCAGAACTTCTCCTCAATCTGTAGCCAGCGCTCCAGCGTGAGCATATCATAGGTAGTCTTCTCTTGCCGAGCCATGGCGAAGCCGGGCGGCGTGGGAAGAGTGAGGCGGAGTAGGAGAGAGGTGGATGGGCTCGGGGTGGTGGCACGAAGAGGAAGGAAGTGGATGTGGCTAGGGCTGTGGGGCGTCGTCTGGCTTAAATAGGCGGACTTTGGCCCTCGGGTGGCGAGCCAAAGCAGCGCCATGAGGCGTTAACACCCCACAGGAGAAGATGCCGCGTGTTATCCAGTGGGACCCATCGGTGGTCCGGCGTGACGGACGCGCCCGGTCGCACTCAGGCCGCCCCTTTTTTGGGCCGGATATGAGGGTGCCGATCAGCCTGGGCGTTTGAGGCGCCCGTCTAGGTCGAATTTTTACTGGTTGCTGACCGGGCAGTTCGTCCAAGCGTTTGAGGCGGGTTTGGAATGCCCGACTATAGATGTTCTAAGATTAGTCATGACATGGACATGGTGAATCACAACTTAGCTAAACTAGGTAAAAGAAGCGGGAAAATAGGGTTGTGTGGCAGGAACAGGGCACAAACGTGCACCACACTAATATCCAATAATCTAGCAACGGCTTGACTAAGGCCCTTCTCAGTGCTCCATGGCGTACAAATGCTAAGGATGCTACATATAGGCCAAAAAAGTGATGTGGTAAAGCAATGAAAGAGGAGAGAGAGCATTATGATGATCCCAGAAAGAAAGGTGCTAAGCACCAGAACCTATGTAAAATGACTACTAACCAATATATGAAGGAATTTAATTATTAAACAATTTCATGAGGGAATCTTAGTTACAAAAGCTAAGCACCTATGCATTAGGGAGACTAGTTTTTAAGATTTTTAATACACTTAGCACCTCATCTAAGCACTCATGCATTGAAAGAGGCCTAAGGGCATGAATAACCTGCCTCGTAGGCTTGCAGGGTGTCAGAGTAGCTTGCGGGAGAGACTGCAACTTCACTGAGAAAAGCACGAGAAAATGGTAAAAAATGTGAAAGAGAGAAGAAAGTACGCAAAATGCCAACGGCGGTCGACCTCCATGGAGGTGGGTATTTTGAAAAAAATCGAAAAACATATTTTAAAGTTTCAAAAAATTCTGAAAAAAATCATACATGTTAACATGGATGTATTCTACATATGTGTAAATTTTTAAGATGAAATGCATTACGATGAGAGCTACACAAAAAAGACAAATCGCGTTTTTCAGACTGATGAACAGTGCAAATACTGTTCACTATTAGAAATGCAGGGTTTTTTTGTGTGTGTAGCTCTCACCATAATGTATTTCATTGTCAGATTTTATACACATATAGAATACATCCATATGAATGTGTAGAATTGTTTTCAGAATTTTTTTAAAACTCCAAAATATAATTATTGAAGTTTTCAAAATAACCACCACCATGAAGGTCGCCCGCCAAAAGCCCTCACTCGAAGAAAGTAGGGGAAAGAAAGAGAGAGGTAGATGTGGGCCCCGCTGGCTACTACTGCTACGGCTGGGTCATGGTTTCGTGGAACGATAGCTTCGTAGTACAAGCCTGCGTGGAGAGGATGTAGTTGGTCATGCCTTAAAGACGCAGTAATATAGTTGGTCCATTTGTGCTACTTCACAGATGATCTTTTGCAACCGATCAATAGCTTAGTCCGCTTCAATATTTGGCTCGCTTTCTTCATTTTCCTTGTGCTCCTTGATCTATTTGCAAATTTTCTCTTGCTTCAAATTCAATTCAGTGTGAACTGCAAGCGGCCAGCAACCTATGTGCGTTTTTGAAATCGAGTTCGTTACATTCCATCTCTCTAACCAAGCATAGGAATCAAACCATTCCGTTTTACTTCTAACTTGTACCAAATGCAAGAATTTAAGAGCATCTACAGCCAGACTCTTCAAATGGACCGGGCGGATGCGGGGACCACTGACCGGACAGGAGAGAGAAGCAAAAAGTTGACCCAATCGGACCCCTCTTATCATCCCTATACGCCCGAGTTGTCCACGAACCCTCATATCCATCTCAAATATGGGAAGGATATGAGGGCTCGCGGACGCGTCCAGGCACACCCGGTCAATCCGCCACATAGGACCCGTCCCCACCTTGGACCACCTTTTCTCTTTCTTTATTCATTCTTCTCTCTATATATCTCTCTCTCTCTATCTCTCTCTCTCTCTTCATTTCCACCAATCACATGCACAATGACCGAACATATGAGAAAAAAAATGAGAAGTGTGGTTGTGCAGACGAATAAATAGGGGCTCAAAACAGACACGCCCGGTCACTGACCGGGCACGTCCACGACGTTTGGGGCTCGAATTAGAGGTATGTGGCTGAAAATGCTCTAATCAACCCAAGTGAAATGGAACCATGAAACTTCATTTCACTTGGTTGCCAAACCAAACGCACCCTAAATTAATGACATTGTAGGTTTCCTATATAATTGACAATGATCAAAACAGTGGCATGAGGTACCCCATCATGTGGAACTAGTGTGAAGCGAGAAAATTAAAGGGCTTATATGCACAAGAGATAAGAAAGAAAGACAGTCAAATATGGGCCCAACAATTACATGCCAACCCAATGTACCCTAACCCCCTCC